ATAAGCAATCGTTACTACGATACTTTAAAGTAAGATAACAACATAGCACATCGCTACACATTTGGCCTCTTCGTCCTCATTAGTACCATTACTATGGTACTTTTGAGATCGCACAAAGAAACTGTACATACATTTTAAACTTCAATATCAAACTTTCGAGCTTTTAAGCTTTAAATATCAAGATTTTAATATGTACGTACACATTTGTAACATTTGTAACATTATGTACGTACACATTTGTAACATTTGTAAAATGTGTACGTACATATTAAAATCTTGATATTTAAAGCTTAAAAGCTCGAAAGTTTGATATTGAAGTTCTGAACAAATGTGTTCAGATTTTGTGCAAACTCAAAAGTACGATAGTAATGGTTTAATGAGGACGAAGAGGCTCTGTTACGAGATGTTCGTGCGACACATCAGCTGTTGACTCGCGTTAAATTATACATGTTGCTATCTTATTTGACACGGAAAGCATGTATGTAATACTGGTCGAGACGTCTATGACTTTTATTTGACATAAGAACTAGGCGTCAAAAAATTTCGCTCCAAAAAGATATTGTGTTTACTAGTCAGACAGATTCTTAAGGGCATAAATTAAAAATAATGACCTACAAATCACCCATTCTTCCTGCTGGTCGAAATACTAAAATGGGAGTTACATAATTGGTCAAACACAATGGAGATGGAAAACTCGATAAGATGAATTGGCGAGTCACTAGAGATTTTCTGGATAGAGATGATGTGCTGTCAAACTCGCTATTGTTTTAGCTTTAAGGAAGTGACCTCATGAAATCTTTAATAGTACGCAACGTAGTGATCGATGCAGAAGCGAAAAATTGGCCGTAATCTTAGCATGTGTATTTGCTTTGAAGTTGTCAACCAGTCGAAGTTGAAGGTATCGTTACTTCTCTACCACGAAGCTCTTTAAGCTTCCGAATCACATAACTCCCATAGGCATCCTTGAGATGTCTTTTTGCGCCCTGGCTCAGTACTTCATCGCTAAGCTTATTACCATTCTTAACCCACTTCCGATACACTACGTCGGGCATGTCATCGGTGTGCCACTTTACATCAGCAACTTTCGCCACATCTCCAAACATAAAAAGTCTAACGAGTTCATGGATGTCAAATTGTTTGAAACCAAGAATACCGGCCAGGTCAGCAGACGAAATTGATTTTCCAAGTTCAGCGTCTATCTCGAGGGCTACGTTGATGTAACGAAATAATTGGATGTGTTTTGACGCAAAATCTGGAAACATTAAGAAACGAGCATGGATCTCCAGGTAAACATCTTCTAGACTTTTCTTCTGGTGGGCCCAACGCCAATTCAATTGTGCCTCCTCGATAAGAGAATACATTGAATCTGATAGATGTTTCACGCTCGATACCTTGGAATATTGTTTGAATAGATGCAGCAAATACATATACTGACTGTCACGATCTCGAGCTTCTGCTATTGACACTTCCAGTATGGTAAAATAGAAATTCTCATCTCGAGACGTAATAGGATGAAGTTTGTTGCAGTATCGAAGCCACTGTAGGTAATTTTCTTCCCCGGGAGCTGCTTTTAACCTTTTGTAAACAACTTGAATGGGAATTTTCTGAGCGATAAGATCCTTATTCATTGCCTCCCGTTTCATAATGTTCATCATTGCTCCTTTAAACCTACCCCAATTAAAATCGTCACAATGTTCAAGTAACGACCGCAATAAGTTCGTGTTAGGTGAAATCAGGTCGTAATTTTCATAGATGATATTCATTCTCACGACAAAACTATCTTCAATTCCTTCACTAATTTCCCATATTATCATCCAGATCCGAAGCCACTCTTCAATTAGAGACCTGTCAAATGTGCGAAAATCTTGATGTATCATGTCGTATATACCGCGAGGTGTGGAACCTAGACTTGGCCGCAGTGTGTTATCCTCCCTTCGGATGGATGCGGACTTAAGGATCAAGCGTGCGAGTATTCGACGTGCATAATCTGCCTTCAGAGGCTCCCGTGTCCATGGAATGACTATTTCCGCTAATTTTTGACTTGAAATTCTTGAGTTCAAAAATTTAAAAACTCTATCTTCTATTTTAGGTATAGACTCCCATTTTTGATCCATCGTCGATAGATGATTCTTCAAACTCTGAAGAGCAAGAAAGACTTCTGACTCTGACGATTTTTCCGTGAGATGCGACAGATGACCTTCTAAAAACCTCTCTTCATTGATATCCTCGACATTTGCGCTCGTGCTCAGAGATGAATGAATCACGCTATTGTTGGCAGTGAAGATGGTAGAATCGTTGGTTGAATCAATATTCGTACCGAATTGATCAGAGTCGTTGACTAGCTTCGCATCCACGGTGAGAGCAATGTGAGCGCAAACGTCTACTGCTAAAAGACAGACGAACGTGTAAACTCGCATGGGTAGTTCCTTGGTCACCTGCTGGTCTTGCGCACTTTAAGCAAAATTGCTGAATACTTGGTTCTCACGAACTCATCTGAAGTTTTCTTCTCTGGTACGTACCACATATGCACAAGCTGTCAAATATTTCTTGAAGATGTCTCAAACGGAAGCAGACCCTCAAACGCTGAGTGCAGTCTCCGGTATATTCATATCAAGATAAGACATCCTGAGTAAAAAGGACGCATTCCGACCAGAAGTACAAAGAGGCATGCACAGACTTCTATAAATTTTCACCAACACAAGCAGTTTCATAAAATTTATATTGAAAGAATGTCAATTTGCTCTTTATATCCAATGCTTTGTATATGACTATCTTTATTAAGTCTAATGGCCTCGTAACATAACATTTTGGTGAGCCCGTTCTTTTCTTCTCGACAAATTTTCAAGTTTAAGTTGGAAGAGCAGAAACGCACAGATGGGTCCTTACTTGCGTACGGCGCACGCCATGCCCCATCTTCTCTTATACTTTTTGTATGTGCATGATCTTCAGCTCATTAAGATGTCGCAACCTCGCAACCTATCGAAGTTACACGCGCGGTAATCAATAAATATTCCATTTATCAGATGCGACAAATCTAGCAGATCCTCTCGGCGGCAAGGGTTGCAAAGGAGGATCTCTAAATATTTTCAAACAGACTAACAGCTGCACAATTCCCTCTGGCTTTTTCTTAGCTTTGAACGGATCACAACTACCTCTCTATTCTATTTAGTTTTGACGCCTTTGTGGGGTATCGTCAATGTCTTCTTTAGACATTAACTGGAAAACTAGCAAGCTCGAAATTGATTCCTGAAAGAACTAATCTATTACAACCTTAAACTTAGCCTCCAAATGCATTCTTTACCTCTAACTCTCAGCAAATTCAATCTCCATTCCACCAACGCAATTACACCTTTCAGTTTTGACCTAACTTTTCGGCCAATTCAAGTACTCGTCATAGTGTCAGCCTTTTTGCGATGATGTCGTGATTCTTTGCGATTAGATTTGCATATTGGTTGCCTTTGCTTCACATATACATAAGACTTATGCAAGACTCAATTTTCGGGGAAAAATCACAGAGGGAAACTAATACAAGGAGCTCGTTCATCACAATCTAGTTACAGGGAGAGAAGAAAGAAAACGATGATACAGAGCAGTACTATCCCATTGAACATGGTCCCTTTAGCTCTACTCTGGAAATATAAAGGCTTTCTTCTCCTTGAGGAACTGATTCCATTGCCTTTCCTATCCAAGCTCTTGTCCTTGATAATTAAAGAAAGTTGTATCGATTACTGTAGTAAAGAATATTGTATCCTTTTTAGGTTTTGGGAACTTTGTGCTGTACTTGAAAATCTGTACTGTACTTGAAAAAAAGTTGTACAGTACAGTAGTTATACAGTACATGAAATCCTGGATTCTTTACAGAAACAGGAGGGGGCTCAAACAAATTGTACGTAATGTTTGAGCCCATCATACACTGCATGTGTGCCATCCATCACACATACAGTGTACGATCACACAAGATGGTGTGATAACACAATGGTGTAGGTCACATGGGATTGTGTGAGTTGGTATGGCCGCACTTGAACAACAGGCTGGACTGTCAATAGTTTTGCATATGATAACGTTTTGTTATTTAATCAGGAAGACCTATAGATTTAGATATAGGCG